AATTAACAATAATTCTTTGAGCATTTTAATTTTAAATAAAATATTTTCTAATAAGAACAACGAATTCTTGAACAGAAACAATCATTTTGTTGTTTATTCAAGAATTCGTTGTTAATTCGCTAAAATTATTCGCATTATTAAAAAAGTAAAATTATTGCATATAGTTCGAATACTCTAACCATATTATTTTATAAATGTTATACTGAATTTTAAATTTAAAAAAAGATTTATTTTAATAATGAAAAAATTTGTCAGTTTCCTGTTTGAAACTAGCTTTGAAAATTCCTGCTCTATCATACAAAATATTAAAGCACAATTTTTTTAAATAAAACTTTTAATACATTCAGTCAAATATTTTTCACTCGAATCTTATTAGAATTAAATTGAGACCTGATTTATGTCAGGGGAATGTAGCGTCCTGTGATTGATTTCTGCTATAAGAATAGCTATGAGAAAGAGAAAGTGATATGGCCACTTCCAGGTTTAGCGAAAAGGAGTCAACTATTTATTGCATAATACTTCTTTTTTTGCGGATATTACGGGCCAAACAAATCTAAATACCTTCAACGGATTTTAAAAGGTGTAGACTGACTTATTTAGGGGTACGGGTATTAAAATCCAATGGTATCACAACGCACGTTCTAGTTTAATCGTATCTTTTGGCAGCAACCTATACATTTTTTTGAAAAATTAAAGTTAAATGCTTGAAATTCTCTTTTTTCCTATAAAAAAACCTTCGAAGCCGGAAGAATGTCCTTCTTAGTAAATTTTCATAAATGTTTCAAATTTTAAATTTGTCCTAATGAACGTGCATACATCTATGTACTACGTATAATTTAAATGTTCCAAAATTAATTTTTTTTTATTCATTTAAATTTCAAATAAAAATTTAAATGAAAATTTTCATAAAATCCTTTATTCAATGCTATACACATTCTATTGTCACTTTCCATTGCCACTTTCCGAAAATTAATTTAGAGCCTTTGAATAATTTACAGGAAAAAGGAAAGAGAAGCAAAAAGGTATTCAAAAAAATTTTTTTTAAATTACACAAAAATATTTCGTATAACTCATTTAATTTTGTGCGATGACCTAATAGTATATAACAGATAATATTTTTGTTAAAAGGATCTAGCGGAAATTTATATTCAGGACGTGAATAGCATATACGACAATTTATCATCCTTTTATCATTTTTAACAATTTCTCTACATATGAACATTTGATTTGATTTTGTGCTCTTGACTTTTTTGTTTTGTGTTTTTTTTCTGAAATTTTTTAAATTCCTTGAATAAAATTAAAGAAATTTTTATGTACTTTTTGGGGCAATAAATTTCTCAAATGAAAATTAAAGTGAGGAAAAAAGCCATGTTAAGATTTTCATTTTTAGTAGCTACTGCAACTCTTTTTTTTACCGTTCATCATTAAAATTTCGTATAAGAATCATAAAAAATTATAAAAGGATATTTTTTTTCTTTTCACTATCTCATATAATCACGTTTATTTCATCTTTTCATTTTATTGTTGACTGGCATTTTGATGTGTTATATCTATCGAAAAATAAAGAAAAAAAACGAAAAAAGGATAAAAGGATATGAAATTTGAAGCTGATAAAGGCAAAATATTATTCAAATGGAATCATAATAAAAAGCAGTATGGTGTTTCTATGCTATATGGAAATCAAAAAATTTATGGTCTTTATGTTTAATTTGGCTTTTGTGATTTTCATCAAAATGATGAACTAGTGAAAATTTCTATATAATAATTTATATTAGCTTTAGATTTTCATATATGAAAAAATATAAAAATATTAATCTGTATCATGGCCAATCACAAACGAAAACTGTACAAATAAATTATGGGAGTTTTGCATTGCTCAACAACTTAAGGAATTCAATTCAATTCTAATGAAAAATTCAATCTAAAAAAAATATTCTTAAAATATTCGCTAGTAACCTTAAGCAGAATTTGAAAATTAACTTGAAATCATATTGAAATTCTTACACAATAATTCAAAATCTTGTTTAAATCTCTTGTTCAATTAGTTTAAACCGAGCAAGTATTCAACGTAATTAAGAAAAACTCCTCAATCCATTGTAAACCGTTCAAGAACTGCAATTAATTTTGTTAGTATGTAATACATAAATTCCAAAATCTAAATTGATTTGAACTCTTTGCTCATAGTACCAAGCTTACGTATAGAACTTATTCCCAAGGCATTTGAGCATTAAAAATGAAATATTAGATAATTCGATGCTCAAATCTATACCATAATTTTCGTTATAAACTGGAAGAAATAAGAATTATTAATTATTATATAATTTCTTATATCATGTAACAGTAACATTTCATAAATGTGTGCTATTGCTATACACTGTCCACCAATTTTACAATGATATTCAGCACCACTCAGTGCATAAGAATTGTAATCAACTCTAAGGCAATCAATGATTTTTTTTTAATAATTTTTCAAAAAAAACTCATAAAACTTTATTATTTTCCTAAAATTTCTTAATTGGCAGAGCATATATTTTTTTGATTTGTTATTCTTGTATAATTTTGAGCATACATTGTATAATTTGCTTATTATTAACGTTGCTAATAAATAATGGAAATGACAGGATATTTTACAAAGTTTTATTAAATTACAAATTGTTGAATGGTTCTTAAAGTTTTATTACATACTTTTTAATTTATTTTACTACCATAAATTGTAGTTTTTATCCATGAATTCTAGTATGTTGTGCAGTAAATGCTTTCATATACAGATTTTCAATTCATAAAATGATTTAATTTTTGTATGTTTGTTTTCTTGCATTCATTAGCAAAATAAAGTTTAAATTTTTGTTAAAAACAAAAAAACTACATTGGTTACAGTATTTGTAAACTAAAAGATTCCATTGGATATACACACATTGACTAAGAATATTTTATTAGAAAAGCATAATTACAAACTAAAACTTTTATATTACTGCAAAAGAACAATTGAAAATAAACTTTTCTCACCTTTGATTAATTTTTAAATTAAAAACTGCAAGTTCACCTGTAAATGAAAATAAACAAATATTTTAAAATATTGTTGAATAGCAAAATATAAATAAATTTTTGAAATTATTAAATTAGAATGAAAATATTTCAAACTTTCAAATTGATTATTAAAATTTCTAAATGAATGTAGTATATAAATTTATTATACAAGTAGTATAAAATAATATCAAGTACTTCGTTTAACAATTTATTCACTCAAGTTAGTAAAAAGAAACTAACAAAACCTTAAATAGCCTTAAAGTTTAAAAAAAAAAGTATTTTTCTAGCAAAATCAACTTCACTCGCATTCCTGCAACCTGAAAAATGGTTATCAGTTCAATTTTTTTAATATGAAGAAAAAATTTATTAAAGATTGCTGCAGTAGATCTATGCAATATAATTTTTAGACTGATTAAAATTAAATTCAAAATAAAATTTTATTCTTAGGTATTTCGAAATATCATGGAATATAACCATGACCCCTATCATGGAAAAAAAAATCAATATACAGTAAAGAATATCGATTACACTTAGCGTCCGTTCGATCACTTAGCGCGTCCGTTCGCATTTCTTTTTGGAAAACTGAACTTTCATACATAAATAAATTTTTACTAGAAACTTATCTTTTCGTACACAAAAATATTTTACGCTAAAAATCTTTTTTTCAGCTAACCCTCCCTACCAAATTAACGCCTTTTTGAATTAGAAAAATTTAAATTTTCGGTGCCTTATATATCTGGCAGTACATAAGCATTTTAAAATTTCTATAAAATCAAAGAGCAAAGCGATAAATAATGTCATTCAAGCGATAAAAAATATAATTATTTCGCTACGATGAATATATTAACGTTTCTTTAAATTTATTTTTTTCCTCATCGTAAATGTGTTTTAGTAACCTCTATAAACTCTCATATTTTGGTATTTTAATTATAGCTGGTATAGATTAATTTAAAAAAAAAAGTATTTTCAAGTATTTCAACGGAAAAGTGCTATATTACAAACCATTGATTTGATCCAACATTAATTTTAACATGAATATTTAAAAACTACGTTATATACGTATTCTAAGATACAGTTAATATAATGTCAGCTTAGCTGTGTAAAAATTCTTCATATTAATAAAATTTCCGGAAGAAAAACAGCGATGCTAAAAGTTCTTTGTGTATTGATTTTGGTATTTTCAAAAAAAGTGAGCTTTTCTTATTCTACACTTTAGTATTCATGAAAGCTTTTTATGTTAGGCACTTAAATTCTGTTCTCAAATTATTAATCACTCATAATTACATATTTTGGTTAATTATTATAGATAAGAGGGGCATAATTTGCATTCATTAAGAAAACTCTTAAAAATATTTATTGAAATTATAAATTTTGTATTAATTTTACGATTTTATTTTAATTAATGTTTTAATTTATTACAGAAATGATTTATGAATATTTTAATAATCTGTCGGTTCTAAAAATATAATTAGTTGTCCCATTAATTTTACATTACAAAATGTCTATAGTTTTTTTGTTGCTTTTTTATTATTTTTGTTATTAGAAAAATGAATTTATTTTATTGTCTAGATAAGCTTTAAAACTGTACGGAAACCTTTTGTTAAAAAAAAATTGTAAAGCTTCGTTGTAGAAACCTGTTTTGCATTTGTCAATAACAACGACTGCAAAAAAATTGTAATTCGAGTTACGGAATGTTTGAATTCAAGTTTCAAGAATGTTACTTTTGGAACATTCTTAAAAAAGATTTATCAAAAGATGTGTATATTATAGTTTGAACAGCTCTGTTCTGCATAACTTTCACATCATTGAAGCAATAAAGTTGGAAAATAAATCTCAGTGACAGGATTAGTGATTATCACGACAAATTATTCCGCTGACGCGCCTACTTTTCAAGTTATATATCTTCAAAGCCCAGAAAATGCAAATTTTTGCAAAATAATATATTAAATAAAATTTGTTATAACCAAAATAATGAAGACTTAATATTTTCAATTTCAACTCAATATTTTGTTACGACTCATAATATTTATTTTACAATATCTATATTTTAATTTGACAATAAAAAAATCTTTAATTATGGTTCCAAATGATCTAAAATCCATTTCATATATTTGGGAACATTGGTATAAAGAGATCCGCCACTATCTTTCTTGTCTTCACAATCGTTTTCTGTTTGAACGCCTGCCGATGAGAATCCCAATAGAACATATTTTTTATTTTCTCCAATTTTTAACTTTTGAAATAATGGTGCACCAGCATCACCTTTGCAACTATTTAAGTTATTTTTACTAGTTGCACAGATAACCTCCTCTGTTACATTCGCATTAAATTTTGAATAAAAATCTTCACACGTTTTCCTTTCTTCATTTATATCAAGAACTGTTTTATAAAGAGTAGTGGGTGATGGATTTCCTAAAAAATTTAAAAACGTTCTCCGTTTCGTAGTCATATAATTTTTTTATCGTACTTATTATAATTACCCCAAGCACTGAATATTCCTTGTTTATTAACTGCATTTCTTAATTCTGAAGTGATTGGTAAACATATTGGTTGAACATTATTTTCTAAAATGATTTTAGAGAGAGAGATTACACGAAAAACATTGTCAATTTTGTCATAGGTTGTTGAGGAAATTTTTATAAGTGATAATAAATATCACGAAAAACTTACTTATAAGTAAAGTAAACTGTATTCACAATCTGATTTATTACTCACTTTTTACATCAGCGGGGTGCGCTAAACGTATTAACGCAATATCGTTTGCTACACGTCTGCTTTGAAAATTTTCATGAATTGTCACATTCTTAACAGAAATATCTTGAACGGGATCATTGCAGTCTTTTCCATCTTCTTTGCAATCCAATTCAGTTTCAACGTTATGTTCCCCAAGACGAACACTCAATCTATAATATTATAAATAACGCTTAAATATAAAAAAAAATTATAGGTATTTTCTTGTTTACAGAGAACTCCTTTGACAATGAGCCGCAGCTAAAACATAATTTTCACTTATTAATGTTCCAGTACAACGAAAGCGAGGCTCTTCTGTATCATATTGCAAACGAGCCATAAATCGTAATTCCCTAGGACCTGCAGTTATTTTACGAATTTTATCCGATATTTCAGATTCCTCTTCAATTACACCACAATTTTCAGGTAACAAAATTAAATTTGGATGAGAATCAAGATCTGTATTGTTTTTTTAGAAAGAAAATGAGTAAAAATAATTTATAAGATAATTAGTGTGACTTTCTTATTCATTTGTACAAAGGTAGTCGTATATCCATTGGAATTCGTACACCATTTGTCGTATATTTGTAGGTGTTGAAGAATTATGCAGGTTGCATTCAAATAATTTTATTTTCAGTCATTTAATTTGAAAAATGGAGACTGTGCCAAAAAGGTTAGAAGAACCTTAAAACTTCTTATATTTAGTGGATTCATGAATTCACTTTAATCAAAAAATTTATTCAAAGATTTAATGCACTTATCTCGAAATATAACATTCTTTATGAGTTTATGAGTGATTTGCTTTTAGAAATAGAAAACCGCAAAGACTATCTTGAATTTTGAATTTATTTATTTTGATACTCAAAAATTTTTTTTGTCATTTAAAATCTACTGAACTAATAATTTGAATTTATTAATATTATAAAATAGCCATTCAACCTAAATCGAAATTCAGCCAAACAAGTTTCTAATTATTTGCTAATAAACTTTGGAAATTCCAAATTTTTTTTAAGTTGTTCATAACGTCATTCTGATGTACATATACTTTTATAAGATCTGCGATTTCTTAATAAATATTCAAGACTTCTTGTATTTTCACTTACCAGTTGCAGCAGAAATATTAATTAAATTACTTATTAGAAAAAATATTGAAAAATTTATTAAAAATATTAATTTTAAATCCATTTTATTACGATAGTTTAATTTAAGAATTTTTTTTATGAAACAAATTATATTTTTCTAATATTCTAAAGACGCGCTTTCAAAAATATACTAATCTTTTGAAAAAGAATTTTAATACTAATTGTTAAAGAGAAAATTCGAATGCTTTTATATGGAAATGAATATGGAAAGCAAAGAGAGAAAGAAAAAAATTACTAACTAAAATAAACCTGCTTTTGAAAAGCTTTATTTTGCTTTAATTATAATATTAATTTAATTAAAATGATTTATCTTAATTATTCATAAAACTTATTGAAATGAACAAGATTTTACATTGTTTAAGTAACGCGTCTTTTATATCTGAAGCGCCTTAATAATAATTACAAAATAAATAAATAATTTCTTAAGAAGTTTCAAAAAAAAAAAACGAGAAAAAATAGAGTTGACCTTGTTAACTCTGTGATACCCGTAAGAATTTGTTGTCCTATATGTGAATAAATATGCCATAACTGACTATGGGACAAACTATGACTTTAAGTTGCCATATTACCATATTAATTTATGCCAAATTTCAGTACTGTGTTTTGAATATTATCTAAGATATGGCCAAACTACTACTAAAGTTGTATGGGAGTTACCAGAAGGAACCGAGAAATTTCAACGACTTTTATCAAGCACATTGGCCCTACTAATATGTTCCTTTGTGCGAAATTTCAATACCATAGCTTTTATAGTTTCTAAGATATAGTCAAATAAATTTTGAAGTTGTATGGCAGCTACCCGAACCGGTACCCCGATCATGTCCAATTTAAATAGGGTTCTGGCACTTACTACAATAAATCATTTGTGAAAATTTGGTAAACTTAGCTCAATTAATTTTTGAGTTATCGCTGGGACGGACGGACAGACAAAGCTAAATCAACTCAGAATTCGACGCTGATTAAAAATATACACTTCAGTCTATATCTAAGACCGTTATTTCTTAGCGCTACAAACGGTAAGGCAAATTTAGTATACCCTTCGAACATACGTACGTACGGGTATAAAAATTTGTGAACAGCGGCTGATGATTATGAAAAAATTAATTATGTTTGAGATGTATAAAACACTAAATAAACTGGTATACAAAAGCTTCTGTCTCATATTTCTTGTTTAACACACGTGAATCAAGTTAATAAAATAAAATTGTTGAAAAGCTGCAATAATTAATTATCGAAAGTCTTTATTTTCCAATTGAGTGCTTAACAAAAAACTGAAGAGAAATTATTTTTATTTTGAGACTAGTGTATTTAACACCAACACCTATTTGAGTTACAAATATTTTTTTTTTATTGAAAATTTGATAAAAACTGATATAAAGATGAACTAGACAGAACGCAAAATTGCCATAAGTAATTTTGTGGGTGGATTTAATATTAATCATTAAAATTTTTTTCTGTTTTATTATTATTATGCTTCGTTTCTATAATTCAACCTCAAAAGTATTTAACAAAATGAAAAAGTCAACTACTTACTGATGAAAATATGATATTTGGCGTGCCAAAGATCACACTACCCAGTTCCATAAATATTATTATTGCACAAAAATTTTAACGTCTATCATTTCAATTATAGTTGTGTATTTTTAAAACGAATACTCAAAAGATCAAGTTAATTGTGGAACATTAAGATTAAAATTCATTATAGGCGGCTTTCATTGATAAAAAAAAACAAGATTTCAAAAAATGTTGCAGAACTTGGCCAATAAAATTGACTTCTGAATCATTCCAATGCAATTGCATTTAAAACTCATTCCCCAATAAATTTTAATATGAAATTAAAAATTAATGTTATTTTTAATTTCATATTAAAATTTAAGTGCTTATATTATAATATAATACTTGTGCTTCTTTAACTGTTATACGCCACAGCTCAAAATTGAAATATGAAAAATAAAAAAAAATAAAAAATTATAAAAACTCAAAACATCATCAAATTCTAAAGAAATTCTCTTTTCAATAAAAACAAAACAAAACATAAGTTTGTTTAGGAACCAAAAGCTATAAAAAAAAATTTTAAAATGCAAAAACAAGCCAATGATAAGATTTAAAAACCTTTTGTCACGTGCTAACTGCAAATCAAATAAAAAAAACTCTATAAAAATCCTATAAAAATACCATCACTTCCCTCCCTCTCCCTTCCCATTTGTGAAATTCATTGAGTTTTTTATTGTTTGTTTTCTAAATTTGAAAAAAAAAAGATTTTTTAATTGTCCTCGAAGGGACAAAATTTAAAAATAAAATAAAATTACGACTTGCGAATAAAATATACGAAAAATTAATTACTTTAAATAAAAAATGAGAAAAATTTGCTGAAATCGTTATTAAGGTGGTTAAGAGAAAAAAAGTACTTACTTTTAATTAAACGGACAATTTATAAATTATTTAGGATTTTCCCTCGCCGAACATAAAAATATTTTTTCTCTTTTTTTAATGAATAATCAAGTATTCTATTGCACGGCTTTTAAATTATGAGAGAATTCATTAAAAATTAATTTCTCTTAGAAAAAAAAACTTTGCTCATCATTCTAAGTAAATTTTATTAATGTGTCGCCATCTATACATAAATTTATGTAGCTATACTTCTATTATGTAGTTATGTAATAATTACTCATTATTATTAATTATTTTTAGCACAGCTGAAAATAAAATTATTTTAAAACTTTTATATTGGATGTCGCATAATATTATATACATAATTAGCTGAAGAAATATTGCACATTTGTAAACTGAGAAGACATTTTATTATTCACCTTAAACTTGACTCTACTTTTGTGTTATTAACCAAATAGAAAGGCTGAAAAAGATAATCCAAAATTAATGCCAAACGCAATGATGAATTCGCATGAGTTTTCACTATCACAACAATTATTATTGTTATGACTTGTGCAACAACGGTATTGTTAAACTTAATTGAACGGTATTGTTTTTTAATTTTAATGTAAACACTTTCATAAATTTATTAATGACTGATCTGCATATGTTCAAAATACGATCTCAAAAGTGCCTTCCTAAACCCATATATATAAACTCAAACTGTAATATCAAAATGATTACATACTTAAGTAGTGGTGTTAAAAAATTTAATTGCATTAATATTTATTTTTGTTATATAATTTAAATTATAAAATTTACATCTGTAAAATTACGAAAAATATAAAGAATGAACATAAACCGCCATAATAAAAATTTTCTTAAAAAATTCCACAAAAAAAAATCAAAATGACTTGAAGCGAATTTTATCCCAAAATAAACCGAATGTTTTTTCAAAAAGATTTGTTTTTAAAGTGAGATTTTTCGTAATTACTACAGAATATTAAAAATCGGAAAATTATAAATCAAGCCAAAATATTTCAAAAAAAAAAAGAAAATAAAAATAATTTTCATGTTATGACAGGATCGTGGGTAGGTCAAGTAAAATGTAAGAATTGTTCTCTAATCCAAAATGAAAAACGTTTCGAATTTTTTAATTCATTTTCAGTTCCAAATGCTTTTGATTATCCAGTCAACTCATTTTCACTTCTTATTTTCCATATGTAATGCCCAAATTATTATTTTGTATTTTTGATCAGATTTAAGATTCCGAATAATAGATTGTCGAACTATTCATATTGACGTTTTTGAAATATTTTCAACAAGAGTACAATTTTAGAAGAGTATGGTAATCGGGCTACTTGTAATTTACGACAATTCTCATCGCAAACTCTAAATATAATCTATTGTACAAATTCCTACAAAAACGAAAATAGGTAATGGAATTTTTCAGAAAAATAAAATCATATCTCATAGTATTCCTAACAGTAACTCAATTTCAGTTCCCTTTTTTTTTTTACTTTTTTCAAGAACATTAATTTCAAAGGAAGATTTTAATTGCTGCTAATATCCTTAACAAAAAAAAAAACAAAGAAAAAAAAATTATGATCTTATTAAAATGCCACCTTTCATTCTGAATGAATATCCTGTTTTAGGTCTTCACAATCGAGTAGCCTTGAAGAAAAATGTTAAAAAAAAAAGATGATTTTTCCTGTTTTTATATTTAAGTAAACAATAAGATAAAGGAAACGTCTAAATTGAAAATTAAATTAAATTTTTATTGATTCCGGGTCAAAACGGATAGGATAATTTTTTCTTCAGCATCTCTACCATCTTATTTCCACCCTATAAACTTTCATTTACCAATTTCATTATTTATTTTAAAGAAAAGCATTAATTAAAAATACAAAGAACATCAAGATTGCTATGAGACAAATTTAGAAAGCACAAAAACAACATAGAAATTTTTTGGTTTTTCTTTTTCTCAAAACCTTCAAAACACAAAAAAACGTAAATTTTTTTTTTTAAGGATTCAATTTATGCGGAAAAAAGACTTGTTTTTTTGTCCTAACAAACTTTTTTGTAAAGATAAAAAGTCCTACTTCCGCTTTACAATTTCTCGGCTGTGAAAAGATATCGAAAGAATTACGATAAAAAGTTTTTGTGTAACAAGTTTTGAGTAAATTGAAATTCGTGGAGAGTAGGAGTTTTTCGAATGAATTGAATTCTTTTACCATATTATTATAAAGTAAAAATTTCATTATTTTTATATAAAAATAATCCACTTTTCTTGAAAGTGGATTTCTCAGACCTTTAATAAATTTCATTTAAACATATGTAGAATTAAAAAAAAATGATTGAACAAAATTTAATTATTTTGTGGTGTAAGGAACAGAACAGTAACTGCATTTATGTAAATTGGAAACACTTGATTCCAGAATATTGGAAAAATCACATATTATATTGTTAATTGATAACTGTCTACTAGTTCATTATCTTAAAATCCACCCATGATTGATATTACAGTCAGGCATTTATACAACATCTTTGCTTTCTGCAAATCTTATATTTTATTTTTGATTTAAAATACTCAAAAATTTCCACGAAATTCAAAAGAAATATCAAAATATCGGGAAAATCTATTTATATCTTTTTTATACGATTTTCTTTATAATTCTCATTTACTTTTGAAGTGAAAAACCAACATCATAAAATAACTGAAATCTTTGTAAAATACACGTGTGCATATTTTAATATCCTAAGACTTGATCTT